TCTGCTACTGGGAGACCTAATGGTAAAGCCGCCATAAATATTCTAGATAAATATTTTTCTAGATTGTATATAGAACCAATTGGTTACTTTGCTATAGATAGTAAAAGTTCTCATTTAACATGTTTTTTAAACTTTTGGGTTAAGTTGGTTTATAATTACACTATTCCTCTAACACAATTGAATAGTAAGAGAACCAGAACTGGTTTAGAATCCAACTGATAAAGTGAAAGTAGGACCTCTAGACACTGGGGGATGGGGGGTGGTTTGTTTGGTTTTTGGTTTTGGTTTTGGTTTTTGGGGTTTTTTTTGCTTTTGTTACTTTTCTTCCTATTGCATAGAATCGGTGAGAAAGAAGAAGAAAGAAAAAATATATTATTGTTCACTTGTTTAAATGGAAGAAAATTGCAAGAGTCAAGACTTTATATTTTATTACATCACTTTTATGTCAATAAACTGCACGGCGCAGGAGGGGAAGACCCTCTATGAGATGGATTGATTCGGTGACTGGGGTGATCGGGATGGGTGTGTCAGAGGCAGTGTGGTTGGCACAGGATAGAGCAGGATTTAGGGCTGTTGTGCATAGGGTCGCTATGAGTCGCAAACGACTGGACGGTACATAACAACAACAACAAAGCAAAAGATGTGCTATCTGGCAGAGGCCCCTGGGGTTTTAACAATTTGTATGTGGACTATATCATTTGGACAATGTCGTTTCATTCCACTTTTATAGTAAAAAATAATCTTAACTACCATGGGAAAGCACAGGAATAAAGAAACATTGGAAATTAGCTGGGGAAAATAGAGTGAGGCACACTGGTCTCCCAACATTAATTATTCCAAGTAGTCATTCTTTTTTAAGACGCAAATAATGCAGAGGATGTACAATGTATTAGTTAAACTGATAACACTTCATTTTAAATTGGATTTATCTAAATGTATTTTTCCTAAATTTGACATCCAGCTTCATGCAGAACATAACTCATTCTATTCTTGACTTCACATTTCTCAATCAATAGTAATTTTTTAGAGAATGTGATCTCGGAACAGTATCTTTCTTTTACTTAAGAATATTTATTAATCATAAATTTCATATTTTGACTTAAATAAAATTAAATATAATCCAATCTATCTACCACTCAGGTTTAAAATGCATAGTTGTTTTGACATTTTAGACAAATAATACAGAATGTTACAGCAATAAACAAAGCTCCAACCCACCCATCTTCTTTTCTGTCTTCCCTCTTCAGAGTTAACCACCAATATTAAGATGAATTTTAAACATTTTATAACATTTTTATGCTTCTAAAACATATATGTATATATTTACAAATAATAGACAATGTCTTCTATTGTTTTAATTAACATAATACCACACTGCTAATACAACTTTTTTATCTACCCTGCTGAAGAATCCTGTGCTATCATCACCATCTCTGCTATATGTAAGCCCATTGTTGTAGTCTTTGTGTCAATCATATAATAAATTTTTACATAGTACAGTGAATCCCTCATTCCCTTAAAAAATATTTCTAGTAATCTTGATAAGTATTGATCTATGCTAAAAAGTAAGTATTTACAGGCTGTGGTTGTTGTTTTTGTATGTACCACCAAGTTGTTTGCAACTCACAGCAATTCTATGTGCAATAGCTCTGAGCCCTGCCCTATCCTGTGCCAACCTCATCATCTCTAACACACCCACCCCTGTTACCCTAGTCTCTGAGTCTATCCATCTCATCAAGAGAGTCTTCTTCTCTTGTGTTGTCCCTTCACCCTCCCAAACATGATGTCATACATACATAGACACACACACACACACACACACACACACACACACACACACACACACAGAGAGAGAGAGAGAGAGAATTCTTCCTTAAAATTCTCTTTGGATTGCATTTCTTTGAATGTGATGCCATGTGTCAACTAGATCACATGGCGCTCATTTGAGTTAAATCTGGCTCTGATGTAGTCTTGACAGTTTTTATTGAAACATCTATCTA